AACAGAGACGAGTTTTTCGGGGTTTAATCGATGAGCAGCGAGAGGCTTCAGACTGAAACACCGCCTTAGTGCCTCTAAAACCCTCACGGAGCCGCCTGTTGTTCCAAACTCACAGCCAGTTCCTCAGTAATCAGCGTCGAAATATTTTAGAGATACAGAATATCTGATTCATCTCTCTGCCACCTCAGCTTCTCTCTAAACTGTTTCGGAGCCTTTTCACTTGGTAATTTTTATCTCGGTTAATACAAATGAATGCTGCATTGTGTGTGTGTGTGTGTGTGTGTGTGTGTGTAGGTGTGTGTATGTGTGTGTGTGTGTGTGTGTGTGTAGGTGTGTGTATGTGTGTGTGTGTGTGATATTAGCGCAGCACAAAGTGTCTTTTTTTTCTGGAGGTTGCAGTGTGAGCGTAGTAACATTTGGTGGTTTAATCTTCACATCACAGGACCATCTCCAGCACTGGGCTGACAATCTTTCCAGACCTCTCCAAGATCCACTCCATGGCCTTCGGATTTATCCTGTAAGTCCCGATACAACATTGGACTGAGCTACAAATGCACCCACACACACACACACACGCCACTAATCCCACGTGCACCTGAATTTATAGGCCGCTGTGCGCACGCAGAATTACAGAAGAAATCACACCATCAGACGTACAACACTGCAGTCGAATCCGACACGCCGAGCGGCTCCTGCTGAACAGAGTATCAGGAATGCAAACCAGCTGTCCCCAGACTTAGAAAAAAATCCATATTCAAACTGTCTCCCATCTGACATCTATCAGCTTCAAAAAGAAAGTGGATTTATTAGAGATCGTGGCCCGCATGCTGATACGTTCTCCTCATGTTTTGCACCTGAAATATAAATATATCTGCTGCTCGGAAACGCTCTTTTCACTTCCCAGCATTAGTCGCTCATCCTGTGTTTTTAATCTTTGTGCTGCTCAGTGACCTGCAGGAGAACATCCACATGGAGAGAGTGCCCGCCAATGCCTTCAGAGGCCTCTGCACTCAACCCATCAAGGCGATGTAAGGGATTCATCACTTTTTTAGAAACGCACCACCCTCACACAGATCCGAGTGGGCATCTCATGCGCAGTGATGAATGTTCCCTGAAATGCTCTCTGCCCTCCTTACTGAGTCTATCTTCTCCTACTTGTCTCCCTTTTCTCTTTTTTCTTTTTTTTTTGCATTTCTAACACTCTCACTTTTGTTTTGTTCCCCCCCTTTTTCCTTTTGAACTGCAGATCACGAATCCTGCTGAAGATCATGTACTGAATCGGGCTCAGACTGAAATGTATTCCCATTTTGCTTTATGTTTAGGTCATTAATTTGCTTTTTCTTGTGTAAATGACGGAAAATTAAATCAGTGGCGGAGAGCGACGCGGCACGTTTGCTCGAGTGCGCTGCTTAAGTGCAATTTTGACGCCGTTGTCTTTAGTTAAGTGCGAACCTTTAATGCCTCTTTAGAAATTCAATCTACTGCATTTCAGAGGCAAATGTGATTTATACAGATCTGCTGTGAGATTAGGCTCTTAAATGGAAACCGCACGTTTCTGAAAGCTGATGAAAAACTGTATTACTTTACATGAAACCAGCGGATCTCAACAAACCACTTAACATAAAGCTGCGTCTTGTTTGGGCCTCTTTGGATGATGATCAGGAGTCATTAGCAATTCAAAGATTCAAATTTTTAGGTGCCTCAATTTAAATCAAAACTGTAGGAGGCCTCCAGATTTATTCACTGTTTACCGAAAACACAACAGATCAGAGAAACAGCCAAAAGACGAAATGAATTAATGCAGCAAAACCACTTCTTTTTACTTCAGCATTAATCAGCCAGACAGGAGGAAAAACTTCCAGTTTGAAATACATTTTCAGAATTAATTAAAGGGAATAGACGCTTTTACTTTAACTCCCTCGCGACAAAAATAAATACCAAAACTTCACGAGATAAAAGAGAGCAAAAGTCACCGAAACGTCTCAGACTGAAGTCCGTTCAACAGACAAAATAACTCTGGTTTAGCTTCATGAGGAAAATTAAAAGCTCCTTCATTAATTAAGAAAAACTTTGAAGCAGCACCAGTTCAAAAGAGAATCACTTCAGTCCATATTTCCAGTAACTTGCACATTTCAGTTTGTTCAGCTTGTTTCAGTAGTTGTGAGTGTTTCTGGAGGTTAATGAAGGTAGAGGAGGCTCGTCAAAGAGATAACGTAGCCTGAGCTGGAGATTTGTTAAGAAATAAAAGAGACTTACCAAAACCAGGGTCCAACCAGGACCAGAGATCTTTATCCTGAGGAGGTGGGATGAGGTGTATCCAGTCACACGTTCTGTCACGTATTCAGCTGGTTCTGCTCCATTTACTCCAGTACGTCCAATTCAAAGCGGAAATGACTTCATCTTTCTGAAATCTCCTGTTTCCAGCTCTCACTTCTCTCCAGTGTCCTCCATGTTTGTTTGCCACACTCAGCTCACAGGTGTTCCTGATCAACACCTCACTTCCTGTCAGGGGGAAAAAATAAGGGCTGTTCTGGTTTTTTTTCCCAGAATAACTACTTATGTACATGTAAAGCAGTTCAACTAAGGTCCATGTAATTATTATATTATATTATAATACAGCAGTGACTTGGGCCTTTTTTTTAGCAGAATAAATACTTCAATATTTTAGTAGTATATTTACAGCCCATTTCTTACTTGTTTTTGTGTATTTAGCAAAGAAAGATTGTAATATTCATACAATGAAGTACAAGATGGAATAAATCAGAAATGAAAGTAAAGTTTAGCACTATTGTACTTCTTTACACTCAGAATAGAGAATTGTTGGATCAACTTAAATTAACTCCTTCAATTGGCAACCAAATTACACTTATTTGAATTAAGTTAACAAATAATATTAATGCCACAGGTTTAAGTTAGATGTGCTTTAATCACTTGATTCCCCTCAAATGAACATTTACTGCGACTGAATTTTAATAGAAGTCACCTTGAAGTTTTACATTTTTGCAACACCAAATGTAAAACATGATTTTGTCAGTACGCTTCCACCATTCTGTCGTTTTTCATCAGTCTTTGATCCTATTTAAAAAATCTAATTAAAAAAAATTGAGTTGAAGAAGAAAAAACCTGAATGTCAAACACACAGTGCTGAAAAAGTTCACCTCATTTTGCCTCAGTTTTGAAAAGAGAAATTTAAAAGGACAAATTGTAATTTAGAGGTGGTGGAATTCAGAAATGTAGAAAAGTTATCACCAAAGCAGAAAGCTGTGGTTGTTCTAATAACTGTTTAGATGAATATTTTATAATGAAACTATGTGATCAAGTCATCAAATATAAAATATAAAATGCAGCTTAAAAGTAGATCATATTAAAACATGTTACCTAAAATAATGCAATGTTATGTTATATACAATAAAATATAAAATGATAGTGGCCGGCACAGTTCTGCTCGTATTTTCCCTGAAATGCTTTTACTGATAATACTTGTTTAGTTCCACATTTAGGGAAATATTAAATGAGACTTTATCTCTCTCTCATGGTAAACACGAAGCTACAGCCAGCAGCAGATTGCTTTAGCTTAGCATGTGGACTGGAAACAAGCAGAAACAGTTGGTCTGTCTCCCTGCAAAAGCAGCGAAATCCACCTGTCAGGACGTCTAAAGCTCACTAATTAGCTCTAATTAACACGTTGCGTCTTGCTTGTTCAAAAACTAATGTGTGAAAAATGACAAATTGCGGTTTTACAGGGATGATGCGTCCGACTGTTTCTTGCCAGAGATTCCAGGAAGTATTCGTACCTGGCCAACAAATAGTCTGGCACGTAACCCCCCTCTCTCAAATCCTGGGTTTTTGTGTTGCTATGCTTTGCAAAAACAATATAATGTGTTAATTAAGTCATCGTGGTAGGTGGATTTCTGTAAGCCGTTGGATGGAGCCACGCTAGCCGGTTATTTTGGCTCCTCAATCTTCGTAATAAGCTTATCGGCTGCTTGCTGTGTTCGTACAGACAGAAATAAGGGTGGTGTCAGTTTTATCTTACTCTCGGCTTGAATTTAAATAATTTTTTTGTCAAATTTCATGGTAGCGATGCACGTATTTCCTCCAACACTGCAGGATCTAAAAAAAAAAAAATGCAGTTCGACTACAGTTTCCACTGTGCATAATGTTAACCAGCAGAAAAATAAGAAACAGAAGAAGAGAAGACGACACAGACAATACTGATTTACTTAGTGTTGGACTCAAATCCTGTGTGTTTGTGCAGCTTGTGCTCGCTGGGAACAGAAGACGCGCAAACACTAAAGCTGGCGTCGACAGTTCAAATAAGTTTACTGTTTGGGAATGTTCTGTGTTGGAGCCACATGACTGTAATTTGGCTCCTCTTTCCGATGACAGACGGCTCACCAGAAACGGCATCAAGGAGGTGGCAAGTGACGCCTTCAACGGAACAAAGATGCACATATTGTGAGTCAGCGGCAGAGACACAATTACAGATTTACCAAAAAAAAAAAAAAAAAATAAATAGTCAGCTTACATATTTAATTCCTCTCTTTCTCTTCTTCTTTTTCCTCTCAGGTCCCTAAAAGGCAACCAACAGCTTACTCACATCAATCCCAACGCCTTTGTGGGTTCCAGTGAGTTGGTGACGCTGTAAGCATGACATCCAACGGCAACTCATGCCCACATGATTCACCCTCCTCATCTTCACTTATTAAACTCCAGGATGTAGGAGATAACAATGTGACATGAGTGGGAAAACTTGATAGGTTTCAGGTTAGAAAATAGAGGAAGTCGGTGAAATATAACCGGAGGGGGAGAGAGATTTCTTACCTGTTTATCATCCAAACAAAGAGCCACCTTTTTCTATTAAAGTAGGAATCAGACAGAAGTACTTTTTTAAGGACTGCCATTGCTGCGTTGGTTGTTTCCCACTTCCAGCAAATCGTTTGGCAATCAAACAGTGGCTCCCCTTCGGTTTCATTTTGTTATTCTGGATTGTTTTTTTTTTTGCTGGTATATTTATCTTTGTTCTCTTAAATCCTAGTTTGTCTTTATGAACTGATTAAATCCCCCCGTATAGCGAACTGAAAAGGAGGAGAAGAATCTGTTAAAAATGGATTCTGAAATTAGAATGACTCCCCTGTTAAATCCCCCTTTTGTTTGTGCTCGCTCCTGCAGGGACGTCTCTCAAACAGCCCTGAGCTCTCTGCCAGACTCCATCCTCGGCGGACTCAAGAGGCTGATTGCAGAATCTGCCTTCCACCTGAAAGAGCTTCCTTCTCTGCGGCACTTCACCAACCTGCGCTATGCCAACCTGACGTACTCGTCGCACTGCTGCGCCTTCCACAACATGCCCAGGAACAGGTACACATGCTGCGAACGGAAAGGCATCCCAGTGCATTATTTAAAGGTCCCGTATGAAGCCTCGTTTTTTTTAGCAAGTTAGTGAAAATCTCACATGTCCCTGGGATGTAAGTTTAAAGTTTCAAAGCAAAAATGTGAATTGTTAATTCTACCATGTCTTTGCTATCCCTGGTGTGAGCCCTGTTCAGAAGAGACTGTTTCACTGTCTGTAGCTTT